AATCCAAACATTCAACCCAATTTCTTACTTAACATACGCAGATACATATATACACAACCCTAAATACATATACACATAGATATATATAAGCAAAGATATATATATATATATATATACACAAAGATATATATATATACACGTACGCAGATAGATATATATATAAGCAGCTATATGTCTTAATTGTACTTTGTCGGATGAGAGAGAAAGATAGACACTCTGAGTCGAGAGGTTTACCTCTTAATCGTCCTTGGTTGGATGAGAGGGAAACAGAGACAGAAAGAGTCAGGAGTTCGGTGTTGGGAGTCCGGCATCAGAGTCAAGAGAAGGAGGGAGTCAGGCGTCGGAATGTATGGAAGGAGTTGTCGCCCTCTTGATCGTCGAAGTCAAGGTTTTGGGGGGAAGAGACAGAGAGATCTATCTGTGTTTGGGGAGATTTTGAATTCTCAAGTGGGATCTATGACACAAGTGCATATCACGTGACTTTCCACATCAGTTAGGGGTGCAAGGGGGTTAGCTAGACTAGGGGTCTAAAGCATTTTTTTTTTTTTTTGTGTTGAAACTTTTTTAACTTCTTTTGGCTTTTGTTTTTGAGTTTTTTTTTTTTATTTTTGTGAGAGAAAAAGTATAATGCTTATGGTTTGAAAGTGACATTTTGTCTTATTAGCTTATATAGCCTAAGGCAAAATACACTAACGGTCCCTATAATTTGATCATTGTGTTACTTTGATCCCTGACATTTTAATTTTGACACATTTTATCCCGAATTTTGAATCTTATTCCAAATAAGGACAATTGAAGATACTATAGCTCAATTTCAAGAGCAAAGTTGTCAATTTGATAAAATATAAATTAATTTGACAAAAATAAATGTCAAAAAAATATTGGGCAAATTATAAACACCCCCCTCAAGGTTTGGTGAAAATACAGATTCCCCTTGAGGTTTGAAAAATTACAAATTGCCCCCTGAAGGTCAAATTTGTATAACAGATTATGGGGGAATCTGTATGAAAATAAAAACCTCGGGGGTAATTTGTTATGGAAATATAAACCTCAGGGAGCGGGATGTAATTTCTCAAACCTCAGAGGGGAATCTGTATTTTCACCAAACCTCGAAGGGGGTGTTTGTAATTTGCCCAAAAATATTTTTGAATTTTTAAAAATTATTTCTACCCACTAAAGATAAAATTATGTAAAATTGATAATTTGTTTAGATATTTATTTATTTTACCAAATTAATTTTTATTAGTATGTGTTTGGATGATGATCATGTAATGGGTAGTTGTTTTTATTTTCATTAAATTTGTTTTTATTTTTCCAAAAGTCAAATATGATGATATCTTTGATATCATTGTTAAACCAATCCATTAAATTAAAAATCTAAAATTAAAAATATTTCATACATTAAATATATCGATTACACATTAAAAACCTAACAACCACCCATTACATGATTATCATTCAAACATATAATAAAAATTAATTTGATAAAAAAAAAATAAATGTCTAAAAGATTTATCAATTTTACATAATTTTATCTTTAGTAGGTAGAAATTATTTTTAAAAATTCAAAAATATTTTTTTGACATTTTTTTTATCTAATTAGTTTCTATTTTATTAAATTGACGACTTTGTCCTTGAAATTAAGCAATGATATCTTTAATTATTCTTATTTGGAACAAGATTCAAAATTTAGGATCAAAAGTGTCACAATTAAAAGTCAGAGACCAAAGTGACATGAATCCCAAATTATAAAGACGGTTAATGTAATTTGCTTTATAATTTATTTTATCTTTTTATGCTTTTTTTTTAGCCCAAAAATATTTACAAACGAGGAGTGAAGTTTGTTTGGCAATCAACTTTTTGATTAAAAAAAGTTTAAAAAAATTAAAATATAAAATTATATATATTAATTAAAAAATTATTTAAACATATTAGTAATTTTCTTTTATCTCATAAAAGAATTAAAAAAAATAGAGTTACTTAATACCATTCCTTGGAGGATTCGATTGTTGGCACATGATCCATAGTACTGCAATGCGAAAAGATTGAGCTAGATTAGCCCACCAATTTATGTATGATTTTCCCTCATTTTCATAAGACCACAGAACATTGCCATACTCGTTTTCAATCTTTCTTTCTTTTCTTTTTTTTTTTCTTTTTTGGAAAATAGAAGAATAATTATATTAGTAACAAGAACATTCAAACAACTACAGCCAATAAAATATATACAATAATATTATAATACGACAAGCATACCTGTGCAAGGATTATAGGTCCTCCTTGAGAGGCAAAGGGACCTTCATCTCTTAACCTTTTTTTTTTTAAAAGAGAGACAGATTTGCATAAGTTGTCTTGCCATGGCCATGTCGCATCCTTAGCTTGTATGCCTAGGTTGCATGCATCTTGCATGCATGCCTTGTTCCTTGAGTTGGTGATAGGAATTGGGGCCCTTGGATTGTTTGTTTTGTTCGCATTTCATTTGACATGAAAGTTGCATACTTGATCACTTGGCCATTATGCATGGAAATGCGTGATTGGTGGTCTGAGAATCGAGACACATGCCCCTTTGAGTCATAAACATGATAAGGGACATGAATGGTGCATATTATGTTTTGAATTGTGCTGCCATTGCTTTGCCTTGCCCTCTGTTGCTGTCAATTGCAGATTCTGCAGGAACACTTTGCGACCGGCAGTGTCAAGTGCCGACCGGCAATCCTTCTCTGCCGACAGCTTCATTTTTGTGCCGATGGCCATAACACACTGTCGGTGACAGTTCCATTCAGCCGGTGACACTCCTCAGTGTCCAAGGAACCAGTTCTGAGATTTTGGCAGCCTCTAGAGGAGTAAAGGAAGGAAAATAGAGGCAGCCTATGCATGGCGGTGCGTTTCCGAGCAGGACCGAGCATGCATTGCATCGAGCTCTCCTCCCGAGGCGGTTTACTGCTTTTCCTCAGATTAATTAATTTGCTTAGTTGATTAGGCAATTTGTAATATTTAATTAGCTTGCGTAGTTAATTATTGTAATATTTATTCGGTCCCTCCGAGTGAGGGCAAATCTGTAATAAGCGTGTGTGGGTGGTGTGTATGTCTTCCAATCCCCACTTCTTTCTTCCTTTTTACTTACCCGCTTTGATGGTTAGTAATAGGACATGTTCAAATTAGCATACCTTATGCTATGCATGCGTGCATTCATTCATTTGTCCTGCATGCACCGGGCTCGGTATATCATCGCTAACTGCATTTGTACTTCAATTCAAAATTGAATACGTGCATCAATTGATCGCATTTCACATGCCATGTTTAGGTTAGCCGAGCCTATTCTAACTGCATCCTGCATATGTTGCATTAGACAATTGACATGAATTAGGACATGCATGTTTGCTAATTAGTTTATTGTTTTGGCACGGAGTACAATGTAAGTATTTTCGCTTTAGCATCTCGCATGCGTGTGAATTGCCATGACAGTATGCTTACCATGTGGCTAAATGCTTTACGTGATATTCTGTTTGAATGCCCGTGGGTGGAGGTTGGATTTGTTGAGTTGGAAAAACTCGTTGAAATCCGTATTTTAGCCTACTTGCGAGTAGCAAATTCCAAAGCGCTTTTCAAAAACCGGACGGATATGCAATGCTTATTTCCAAATTAGGCAATCTAGTCTATACTTGTTTGCTGTGCGCATAAATAGTAATTCTAGGCTAACAATTGGATTAAGAACACATAACGTTTTCAAAATCGGATATCATGGTTAGTAGAGGCCAATCTTTGAATTGGGCGAAAGGGGTGCTCATAGCTGACCTTCCCTGATTCGTACCCAAGCTCCCGAGCCGAGACAACTCCGGTGATGACGGACATGTGGCCTTCGGCACCGAGTCAGGGTTTCCTAAATTTCCCCATTAAAAATATTTAGGTGGCGACTCTGTATCTGACAAAGCAGTCCATGTTTGGCACTTCTTTTCAAAATCTGTTTCTCAAAACGATTGCCGGATTTGGACTCTTTTGTTCAGATTAAGAACCGTGACACAAATCGAGTCCGAGCTGTAGTAACCCCACAAAATGAACAGAACGGGAGCTCACCCTCCCGAGGCGTTCGGGGACGTCTACATGTGAATGTTACATGTCAATGTGAATATTCACATTGTCACGGGTCGGGTTGGGCCGGGCCGGGCCCCGCCCCTACCCGGGCCCAGGCCCAGGCTTCGGGCTGCTCACGGGTCATGGGCCAATTTTACACTCTTGTCAATGTTAATGTTAATGTTAATATTAATATGTCAATGTGATATTCATATTGTGAATTGGCCGGCCGGGCCCGCACCGGGCGACGGGCTGATTTCGGGCCGCCTACGGGCCGCAGGCCAATTTTACACTCCTATCAATGTGAATGTTAACTTGTCAATGTGAATATTCATATTATCAACGGGCCAGGTCGGGCCTATTTTTTTGGTTTGTGGGCCGGCCCGGCCCGACTCGAATTTTTT